GCTACACTCAGAGTGCCACCATCATGACTGCCTAAATGTGAGCTGAACAAGGACACCAAAGACAGGTATGCAAAAAGTAATAAAAATACAGAAAATAATAAAAAGGCCAGTACAATGACCAACCTGCGTCTCAGCTATTTGCCTGAAAGTATGAAGAAAAATGACCACTCACTGAGACATGCTTATCCTATATAGCCCTAAATGATTTTAATTTCTCTTGGACTTTCCCATCACACAGATAAAGCTGAAATATCCAAGTACAGCTCATGTGCCAATAATTGAGCAAGGTCAGTCTATAGATGAATATTTAGAAATAAAGTGATTATGGTGAAAGGCTATTATCACATGATGTGTTCCTCAGCACAATGGTGCTGAGAATAAAAGGATTTCCACAAGCAGAGGAATGAAACAAGATCATCATCTCTCATCCTCAACAATAATTAAGGCATAATGCATCAGGGACCTTATTATCTATTTGAAACTCTAAAACCATTTGAGGAAAACATGCATAAAATACTTCAGGATATAGTCATGGATTTTCTGAACTGAAATCAAATAGCACAGGAAATAATTGAAGTACTGACAAATGGGATTGCATGACATTAAGAGACTACTACACAGAAAAGAAAACAAAAAGCACAATAGAACATCTTCAAGACTGAGGGAAATGCTACTAGATGCACATTAGACAGGGAATTAACATTGAGGACATGTAAAACCAACCAAATTAAGGAACAATAAAAAATGCCTTTCAACATATGACAAACCAAACTTACGTTCTCAAAAAAAAAAGAAACACAAGTGTATCTTTCAAGATGTTCAATACTCTTAGCCATAAGAGAGATATAAATTAAAACAATTTTAGAGTCCATCTCCCCCAATCCGAGTGGCTACTATCAACTAAAATGACAACAAATGCTGGCAAGGATGTGGAGAAAGGGGAGGTTTTATTTATTGATTAGTTGGAGTTCAAACATGCCAGTCAATATGGAAATCCACATGGAGGAGTTTCAATATCCAAAGGTTCATATTCTATGTCTTTTTTTTTGTATTTCTTTTTATATATATATATATATTTTATTTTCCAGTTTAAATTTAGATAAGAAACGAGGTTGCTTCACAAGTCAGTTCCAGGTCCCTCTCCCATTCCCTCCCCTCCTCCCGTGCCCTCTCCCCAACCCCCCCCTGTTATCCCCTAATTCCCCCAGGGAGGGTGAGGCCCTCCATGGGGGTGTCCATAGTCTGTCATTTCATATAGGGTGGGGCCTAGACCCTTCCCCAAGAGTTCAGGGTGAGAGTGCACCTCACATTGTTCTATGGGAGTCCAAAGTCCGTGTGTATACTTGGGATGGGTACTGATCTGCTGCCCAAGGCTCAATAGATTCCCTAGGCCTCCTCACTGAAACCCAGATTCAGGGGGTCTTGATCAGTCCCATGCTGGATTCCCAGGCTGATGCCTGGGATTTCAAGAGTTAACCTTTGTCTGGTCAGCTGTTTCTGGGGGTTAAACCAGCCCAGTCTTAATCCCTTTGATCATCAGTCCTCCCTCTCTGTTACTGGCTTTCTTGAGTTCAGCTCAGTACTTAATCAAGGGAGTCTGCCTCTTTTTCGATCAGCCACTAAATGAAGTTTCTGTTTCCCAGACTCTCTGGCCATAGGATTGTAGGCTGGCACTCTCCAGATCTATGTCTAAAATCCATATATGAGAGAGTACATGCCATGTTTCTCTTTTTGTGACTGGGTTACTTCACTCAGGATGGTTTCTTCTAGTGTCATCCATTTGCCTGCGAATCTCATGATTCCATTATTTTTTTCTGCTGAATAGTACTCCATTGTGTAGATGTACCACATTTTCTCTATCCACTCCTCTGGTGAGGGACATCTAGGTTGCTTCCAAGTTCTGGCAATTACAAATAAAGCTGCTATGAACATAGTGGAACAGACATCTTTGTTATATGAATGGGCATCTTTTGGATATATGCCTAAGAGTGGAGTTGCAGGGTCTTGTGGTAGGTTTATTCCCATTTTTCTGAGGAATCTCCATACTGCTTTCCAAAGTGGCTGAACCAGTTGGCACTCCCACCAACAATGGAGGAGTGTCCCCCTTTCACCACATCCTCTCCAGCATAAATTGTCATTGGTGTTTTTGATTTTAGCCATTCTGACAGGAGTGGGATGGTATCTGAGAGTTGTTTTGATTTGCATTTCCCAGATGGCTAAGGATGTTGAGCACTTTCTCAAGTGCCTCTCAGCCATTTTAGACTCCTCTATTGAAAACTCTCTATTTAGTTCTGCAGCCCACTTTTTAATAGGGTCCTTTGGTGTTTTGGAGACTTGCTTCTTGAGTTCTTTGTAAATTTTGGAGATCAACCCTCTGTCAGATGTGGGATTAGTGAATATTTTTTCCCATTCTGTGGGCTGCCTTTTTGTCTTGCTGACTGTGTCCTTTGCCTTACAGAAGCTTCTCAGTTTCAGTAGGTCCCATTTATTAATTGTTGATCTCACTGTCTGTGCTACTGGTGTTATGTTCAGGAAGCTGTCTCCTGTACCAATTCGTTCAAGGGTACCACCCACTTTCTCTTCTAAGAGGTTCAGTGTGGCTGGATTTATGTTGAGGTCTTTGATCCATTTGGACTTAAGTTTTGTGCATGGCGATAAACATGGATCGATCCGCATTCTTCTACATGCCAGTCTCCAGTTATGCCAGCACCATTTGTTGAAGATGCTTTCTTTATTCCATTGTATATTTTTAGCTTCTTTGTCAAAGATCAGATGTTCGTACGTGTGTGGGTTAATACCCGGGTTTTCAATTCGATTACATTGGTCTACCTGTCTATTTTTGTGCCAATACCAAGCTGTTTTCAGGACTATAGCTCTGTAATAGAGCTTGAGGTCAGGGATGGTGATGCCTCCGGACGTTGCCTTGTTGAACAGGGTTCTTTTGGCTATCCTGGGTCTTTTGTTTTTCCATACAAAATTGATTATTGTTCTTTCTAGGTCTGTGAAGAATTGTGCTGGGATTTTAATGGGGATTGCATTGAATCTGGAGATTGCTTTTGGCAGGATTGCCATTTTTACTACATTGACCCTACCTATCCAAGAGCATGGGAGATCTTTCCATTTTCTGAGGGCTTCTTTAATTTCTTTCTTTAAAGATTCAAAGTTCTTACAATACAGGTCTTTCACTTGTTTGGTTAGCGTTACCCCAAGGTATTTTATGTTGTTTGTGGCAATTGTAAAGGGTGATGTTTCTCTGATTTCTCTTTCAGCCCTTTTATCATCTGTATATAGTAGGGCTACTGATTTTCTTGAGTTGATCTTGTAGCCTGCCACTCTGCTGAAGGTGTTAATCAGCTGTAAGAGTTCCCTGGTAGAGTTCTTTGGGTCATTGATGTAAACTATCATATCGTCTGCAAACAGTGAAAGTTTGACCTCTTCCTTCCCAATTTGTATCCCCTTGATCCCCCTTTGTTGTCGTATGGCAATAGCTAGAACTTCATGTTGAAAAGGTATGGAGAGAGTGGACAGCCTTGTTTTGTTCCTGATTTTAGAGGAATTGCGTTGAGTTTCTGTCCATTTAGTTTGATGTTGGCTGTTGGTTTACTGTATATAGCTTTTATTATGTTTAAGTATGTCCCTGTTATCCCAGATCTCTCCAAGACCTTTATCATGAAGGGGTGTTGGATTTTGTCAAAGGCTTTTTCAGCATCTAGTGAGATGATCATGTGATTTTTGTTTTTCAGCTTGTTTATATGGTGGATTACGTTGATGGATTTTCGTATGTTGAACCATCCCTGCATCCCTGGGATGAAACCTACTTGATCGTGGTGAATGATTGTTTTGATGTGTTCTTGGATCCGATTTGCCAGTATTTTATTGAGTATTTTTGCATCAATGTTCATGAGGGATATTGGTCTGAAGTTCTCTTTCTTGGTTGTATCTTTGTGTGGCTTGGGGATCAAGGTTATTGAAGCCTCATAGAAAGAGTTTGGCAAAGACCCTTCTGCTTCTATTGTGTGGAACACTTTGAGAAGAATTGGTATAAGCTGTTCTTTGAATTTCTGGTAGAATTCTGCACTGAGGCCATCTGGACCTGGACTTTTTTTGGTTGGGAGACTTTTGATGACAGCTTCTATTTCCATAGGGGTTATAAGTCTATTTAAATTGCTTATCTGTTCTTGATTTAGTTTTGGCAAATGATAGCTGTCCAGGAAGTCATCCATTTCCTTTAAATTTTTGAATTTTGTGGAGTACAGGTTTTCAAAGTATGACCTAATGATTCTCTGGATTTCCTCAGAGTCTTCCTGTTTTTTGGTTATTTACCAAATTCATTTCTTCATCAAATATTTAAAATGCAATGGGATGTATACAATACAAACTATCTACATGTTTGAAATGTATGCATACTTTAAAATCTAGATGCATACATTTAGTAGTTATTCTTCCCACAATTACCTAGAAGTTCCTTAAACTCAGCTTTTGCTTGGCCATAAAAAAATAGAAAAAAATGGAAGAAAACACTGTATATTACTTTTCCCCCTAAATTCAAGAAAGGACATAAAATTCATGTTTTACTGGATATTTTTATTCTTGTCATACTTGCATTTTATGGAAAAATAGTATATTGACTTTTAAAAGTATTAATGTTGTCACTGTGCCCAAATTTGCCTCGTGCCAACCTACAAGAGTCAGGAAGAATTCTGTTTCAGAAAGATTTCATATTTTGAGATTGACAATCTTCCAGAAATATCAGAACAGGCTTGATTGTCGTTCAATGCCAAAAAATAAACACTTTAAATGGCATTTTTTAAACATTTAAGGCCTCAGGATTAAAACTATATAGGAGTATTTTTTCTGTTAAAGATCTTTCATTCAAAGTAGGATGGGATATTTAAATCCTTCATTAATTTTTGAATAAGTCAACACAAAGACTAAGATGTGAGCAACATGAAAGTTCCTAAATTATGTGCATTCTTTGAAAATTTATCAAAGCTACTTACCATGTTTAAAGAAGAATTTAGACTTGGGAGATAAGTCCTGGTAGAGTGCTTTGGGAGCATGTCAAAAGCCCTAGGCTCAGTCCTTAGTTCTGCAAAATAATAACAATAAATAAAAAAGAAAATCTAAAATCCTACCAAGAAAAAGTATTCACCCATTTCTTATCTCTGACATCACATGGTGGTTATACAGGATATCACACCAAGTTCCAGACAGAATATACATAACTTCAGGATCAATTCATTCCAGGACTCGTGAATTAACTAATATGACTGCAGATCTCATTGTGAGAGCAAATTCTTATTCATATACTCCATATTCAATGTCATACTGCATGTGAACTCCCATTAATTTATTATCACTCCAGCATTCCATCAAAAAGATCATCTGATAATTTCTCTAATGTTACCAAATCAATCAAGCAAGTAACAAAGCATTGTGTGTAGTCTGAACCCTAATGCTATACAAATCATTTGAATTGTTTTTCTCATTTTTAAAATTTATTTATTTACTTTACATCCCCACTGCAGTTTCCCCTCTCTCCTCTCCTCCCAGTCTTGCCCCTTTCAATCTCCCCTCTGCCTCCATCCCCCTCCATTCCATTTCTTTGTGTTATCTTAGCACTTTGAAGAGTTAAAATAAACAAAGTACTAAGCTAGAAATTACAAAGTTCAAATTCTGGTGTACCAATCCTGGACTCTAATAGACTTCTCCTTTTCTCTGTATCATACTGGGGTGGGTGAAAATTGAACTTTGTTACAGAGCCAAGGTCTACAGATACCATAGAATAAGAAATATGATTTCTCACTGTGCTATTAGATCTGATGCTATGGTTCTTTCTAACGATAACCTCTGTTAAAAGCAACAGGCAATCCACTCTGCTAGGAAATCGATGGATAGTGATAAATTCTAAAATATAATATTGAAATAGTCAATCAAAGACTCCTAAGAAGTTATGAATGTTAATGTTCTCAGAGAATACACTGAAGAAAGAAAGCTGCTTTCAACAGTGACATGTTTTACCCATTTGTTCAACCCCCACCAAGAGGCTCTCAAATTCTTCTGAGTACATTTCTAACATCCAACACTAACTTCCTCCAACCTCATACCAAAGCATGAAGTCGTTCATATTCCCTTACCATGACTCTTCCCAATCAGTGCATTTTTATATGCTCTCACCCAAGGCAAAGAAATGTGTAAATGGATGTGATTGGCATCTTGAAGAATTTGAGTCATCACCCTGAGCTGTAAGGTTCCTTGTGAGCAATGGGAGTTATATCAAATATAGAAACCCATTAGCAGTTTTGTCTCTTGCCAAGAGTACTTAGCTTTCAAAATGGAATCTTGAAGCCTCCTTGTACCCTGCATGACCCTTCCTTTCTGGGGTTGCAGTGGCAGATCTTTTGAAGCCATCTAGCTAAGCTGCATAATATTATAATTATACTGTCACCTAAGGAGATTTCACAGAAAAATTAATGAAACACCACTCACCTCAGACAAGCTGAAGCTTGGAGCACTCTCCTGGGGTTCACTTCTGTATCAAATTTGTCTTAAAGAAAAAGAAAGAAATCTCAAATCCTCACGTAAAGTACAGTTCAAGGAAACAATTTCATTAAATGTCTTTCTCTCTTTTTTTCTTTAATTTTGGGATGGTTTATTTCTTCTTGTTTCTCATAGACAGAGCTCTGTCCCACTAAAAATCATTAGAAAAATTATAAAGAGAAAATAAGAAGGCACACAATGCCATATCTTAAAAATATTCAGTAACCCTCATTGGTCACCATATAATTGCAAGGTACAAAAGCGGTTAATTAATTCTTTGGAGATCTCAAAAGAAAATGTGCTCTCTCAGATGCAGCATAGAATGTGCTTTTTAAGATTACATTCTGAAATTTGAATACCCTTATCTAGGTTTGGGTTGCAGGAATACAAAATGCACAGTAATGTCCAAAAAGCATTACATTTCAATAATATTTGCATTCTCTCAGAATGAGTCCTCTTGGTATCACTTTTAAGTAAATGAATAGGAAGGACATGCATTTACCCTTTATAACCTCCCCAGTCTTCTGTGAATTTGACATCTGTCTTCTATATGCCCCTTTATTTAGCCACTCACTGTTATTCGATTGCTCATTTTGCCCTAATATATCCAGTATGTCAGATTTCCAAACATGTAGTCATTTGACTGCATTTTATTAATTTTTGGAGGGGGAGTTTCAAGGCAGGGTTTCTCTGTGGCTTTGGAGGCTCTCTTGGAACTAGCTCTTGTAGACCTCGAACCCACAGAAAACCGCCTGCCTCTGCCTCCCCGAGTACTGGAATTAAAGGCATGTGCCACCACCATCCAGCAGTTTGATTGCATTTTAATATTTATATTACAGAAAATATTTCCACTTAAAGGGAAGCTAATACTGAAATCTAACTACTGTGCCATGACCAGATTGAGGTGATGTGTGACTACCTCTTCTACAGCCACTGGCCTCATTACCCAGTGCAGAAACCAAACTTGTCCTTATTCATTGGCTAGTGTGACAGATAATTGATACTGAATGTCAATTTCTTGGGATCTGGAATTATTTAGGAGACAAGCCTGTGGGCACACATGGCAAGGGTTCTCTAGGTTAGATTTGTTTCTGGGCACGCCTGTGAGAAGTTATCTAGAATAGGTTAACTGAGGTGGAAAAAACGCATATTAACTGTGGGAAGCACCACACACACCCCCAGCTGGGGTCTAATTGAACAAAAATAAGAAAGGGCATTGAGCACTGGCATGTATCTCCCACTGTTTGTCAACTCTAGATTCAGTGTGCAATGCTTTATCTCTTGATGCCTTGGTCTCTCCACCATGGTGAACTGTAAACTAACTATGAACACAAGCATACCTTCCTTCCTTGATTTTTTTCATGTATTATATCAGGGTAAGCAGCAAGAAAAGCACCTAGGCCAGCTAAATGTCATCCTCGACCTCTTATTTTCTAGTACTTGCATTACAAATGCCTGACAATTACCATTGATATCTTATTTCACTTTAGATATGTAGACCACTATTATATTCTATCAATGATGAAACCATTTTGTCTTTGCACCTACTGTGTGACAAACATATGCTGCCTTCTAGGCACCAGGAATACAGAGGTAAACAAAATCATTTCACTTGTCTATAAAAAACAGGGTTTGGAGAGTTGATCACAGCATATGTTTAATTTTTAGTGTAGAGGTATTATGATTTCACTGACTCTAACAAAACTCACACTGAAATTAAACGCTTATTGGAAGATAGTTAGCAGTAGGATCAGAAGGGACTGCTGCGGATCAACTGGGTCATGAGGATCCTGCCCTTAGAAGTGGGTTAATCCTTCTGTGCATGAATAGATTACTGGGTTACAACAGGAGTGACCTTATTATACAAAAATGAGCTCTCTGGCTTCCTTCCTTTGTTTCATCATGTCCTCCTAATGCTGTGCGGCCAAAAGAACTTCATTGGATAAGAAAGAGATGCAAGTACCTTGGTCTTAGATGTCCAAACCATTTGCAAACTAAACTTCTTTCCTTTATAAATTTCTCCACCAGTGATGGGCTAAGTCTGGGTCATGTTTAAATATGGAATAGTTTTGAGCATAGTCATACATGGCAAAATATTTTTACACTTATAAATGAGTGTGAAATGACAGATACTGTGAAATCATTGAGTCTCTATCAATTGATTGATATTGAATGAATCATAGCATCTATGCTTTTGAAGAATGTGATATCAAAAATTGGGAAATGTTATTTACTTGGAACGAGGGGAAAGATCTTGGATTTGTTGTTTCTTGGGTGGAGGAAGTGGTTTATTACCGATCACAGGTTACAGACCGTTATGGAGGAAATCACCTAAGGGAATCAAAGCAGTAACTGAGGCAGAGGCCTTAGATGAATGCTACTAATTGCCTTGCTCTCCCTGACTTGCTCAGACTGCCCTCTTACACCATTTAAGATCTTCTGCTATGGGTAGCATCACTCTTGGTGAGCTGGGTCCTCCCACATCAACCATCAACTGGATCATCTTCTTCCCAAGTAAACTTGCTTTAGAAGGGGTCTACCTCTTCAGAAATGTATTTATTAATGAAAAATGGGGAAATTTTGTCTGTACCTCTAAACAAATAGGTTACTTAAGACTCTAAGACAGACTGTGACTATAATATTGACAATCGTCATAAAGCAGACTCCCCTCAGAAAGAATACTTAATGTCACTCATAAGTATGGCAGAATAGTGTGAGGATGTCTAATCCCTGTCCATGCTTAAAAATTACAAAGTCCAACTCAGCACCGGTGCCATGCCCCATATATCATAAATCCAAAACCAGCTGGATCTGGAAGCTGAGAGTTCATATCTTGAACCACAAACAGAAAGCAGAGGTTCAGGACTGAGAATGACAAGAGACTTTGAAACCCCAAAGCCTGCTCTCTGTGACACACCTCCTAAACCTATATACAGTATCACTAACCAGGAACCAGGTGTTCAGTATCAGAACCAATGGTAGCATTCTCATACAAACTCCCACATAGGCCTCCTTTATAGTAACCCACAGCTTTTACATTCCCCGTTATGTATGCAGACTGCAGCTGAGGTGAGGGATATGTGAAAGTCTAGTAAATGAGGAATTGGTACAAGGTTCTCTTATTTCTCCATTTGGGATTGAAAAACAAAAGACTCAGAAAAGAAAGCTATATGAAAGAAACATCTTCAAGGAGTCTGTGATGAAGGGCAGTTTCACCAACAACAGGCATTCCTAGTTACAGAGATGAACCCAAGGCGATCCTGAGAGAATGAACACCTTACATCTTTACTACCTACCTAAAGCACATTGTGAGCATTCAATAACTTATTCTTGTGTTAAGTAACTGTTGACAAATTTGGGCGATAAGAAAGGAGAAAAGGAAAGCCATTTCAAACCCCTTATCTGTAAATGGTGAACCACACAAAACTGTTTTATCTAAACCCAGGCAAACATAGAGAATTCATACTACCTCCAAATTTTGTTCTTTTCTCAGCTTCAGTCCAGCATTTTTACCGTGCCAATTGTCCCCAGCCATAATACTTTCATACCTATGTCTTTCTCCATTTTTATTTTTTTCACTAATTCATGCCTCCAGTTTACTACAACCTTCGAAGATAAAACTTTAACGACTGAACTGCCAGCTCTTAGGAGAATGCTCAGAAAGAAGAAATAAAATCAGTCTACACACTAGAGAAGGGCAGAAAGGTAGCACAAGACCATAAATCTTAAAATATGGATGAATCTATTTTTATGAAAAATATATGAAGACTGTGAAGTGGAGGCAAAATGGGATTCATTTTCAATAACAATGTGCCATGACCTTAATGCCCCATTCATCTGTACTTTCCCAGGACACACAACAAGTGGTACTTAAAATGCATTTATCGCCTCTCCAGAGAGAATTCAACTTCTGAAGCATTAAAGAGTGCCTGCCAATGAGAAGGGATTCACTGAGGATTTAACAATTTGTGGATGTCTTCTTTCTGAATTCTAAGAACAAGATTGTTCGCTTCCCCACCCCACATTACATGCAGTGGACCAGTGAATTAAGCCACACTATCTTACATTGGAATTGCTGGCTGATATGATATTGCTTCCTTCATAATCCATGAGGAGGGGGTCATAGACAGTCTTTTTCTCTTGTAGTTCATCCTCCAACTTGGTATAAAGGTCATAAAAAGGCCATCCATTGGAACCACACCTGACAGAAGCTAAAGAAAATAAATGGGTTTATCCCCGTGACGAATGACACCCAGAATAGTATTGACATAAATGGGAATGTTTCCTGGTTACCTCCTAAGAACTTCTCATAATTTCTCTCAAAGTCATCAGACTGATTTGTAAACCCAGTGAATGTTTGAGTCCCACCCACTAGAAAAATAACCAGAACAAAACACACAAATCAAAGGGTTCTGGCCTAGAGAATGTGAATTAAGGTTTTTGCTGAGCTTATAGCAAAGGCATGTTTTAAGTAAAAGGTATCCCAACTTAACTGATGCTTACTGATAAGAAGATAGGTAAAAATTGATCAGAACCTGTCTGGGCAGGACCAGTATCAGTGTATTTTAAAAGTTCATTGGACTTTCAAGAGTCTAGCCATTTATAAAGTGTCCACTAGTGATATTTAATGGGAATCATTTATTAATGTTCTCTATGGATGCTGTACTGTTTATTTAATTAAGTGTGTGTGTGTGTGTGTGTGTGTGTGTGTGTGTGTGTGTGTGTATAGGAATAATGAGCAAGCATGCAAAAATCAGAGACCTCAGAGATCAACTCTCTAGCATTGGTTCACTCCTGGCTATTTGTTGGTCCCTGAGATTGAACTCAGGTCTTTGAGCCTATGTTAATACCTCTACCTGCTGAGCTATCTTGCTGACCAAAAAGGTGCGGTTTTTAAAATGTATATAAATAGTAACTCATTCCTTAAAAATGTTTAAGAGATATATTTTTGTAGGTGATTCCAAAGACAGAACCTAGAGTCTTGGCCATGCTAGGCAAGTGCTTTAAGGCTGAGCTATACCCATATATGTACACAATGTCCATGGTCCTATGGACAGTACAATTAAAACTCCATGTAACCTTGAACACCATCAAACACATAGGAAAACACTACATCGAAAGGCAAATCTAGCACCTTATGTTCACAACCCTGCAAATTCACCTCCTGCCCTTTGGTTTGCTTATAAATGGCTAAATTCTTATGATAAACATACTGCATCTTCTTAATATTCATATTGTTATGCTTCAAATTATGTTTCTGACCAGACTCTGTTAGTCAGAGAAGAAATGCAAATGACGTCTAGAACAGGAGAGAAAAGGTGGAGAGAAGGGAATGTTGTTTCCCAGACTGTCTTTATTGGTCCTTACACGTATACCTGGTGGGTTTTAGCCTCCCTCTCTTTCTTTTGAACATACCCCTCTTCTTCCTCAGGTACTAATTACCTTCATTAAGTGAGAGGTCAGCTAAACCACAGAAGCAGAAACTTACGGGACACCTCTTCAAAGGAACTTCTCTATCTCACAAAGGCTGCTAGATTTTCTGGGATTTTCCAATTAAATATTGGCCTGGTTTGTAGTTGTTTTTGGTTTTGTTTGATTTTTTTTAACTCTTCAGTCTTTGGGAATTCACTACCCAGTTCCCAAATAAGTATATAGAAACTTTTTCTATCTTATAAATGCCAAACTTAGCTTGCCTTTTTTTCTAGCCAATTTCTCTTAACTTAAATTATCCCATCTATCATTTACCTCTGGGCTTTTACCTTTCTTTATTCTAGATCTCTTTCTCTCCTTCTTACTCTGGCTGGCTGCATTGCTGGGTGGCTGGCCCCTGTCTTCCTCCTCCCATCTTTTCCTTTCTCCTCTCTCCCTTTCTTTCTCCTTCTATTTGTTCTCTCTGCCTGCCAGCCAGGCCTGCCTATCCTCCTTCTGCCTTGCTATTGACCATTCAGCTCTTTATTAGATCAATCATGTGTTTTAGGCAGGCAAAGTAACACAGCCTCACAGAGTTAAACAAATACAACATAAAAGAATGCAACACATGACATTTTTTGCACTATTAAATATTCCACAGCTTAAACAAACGTAACAAATCTTCAACCAATATTCCACACCACTGGTTAGTTTTGTTATCAACCTGATACCCTGATACAACTAAAACTTACCCTGGAAGAGGAAATTTCAGTTGAAGAACTGTTCAGATCAGACCAACCTATGGCCATGTCTGTGGGGAATTGTCTTGAATGATGTCAGAGAGCCTAAGAGACTATGATCAATATCACTCCTGAGAAGGTAGTCCAGGAGTCCTGAAAAGAAAGCTGAGCAAGACATGAAAATTAAACCAGTACATAGTTTCTGCTTCAGTTTCTATCCTGACTTCCCTCCAAAACTGACTGTTATCAGAAAGTGAGAGCCAAATAAACTTTTCTTCCCCAAGTTGTTCATGGTCATGGAATCTATCACATAAACAGATATCAAGGTAGAATAAATGTTTAGTGACCAGTCTTGCATTAACTTCTAGTGTCCTCTATTCTTGGTAACACTTGGAAATGCCAGTCTTTATGTCTAACAATTTTGATGATCATATGAAAGTACATAATTGTCCTTTGGCTCATCATACCATGTCAGACAGTGTTTGATCACTATACTCAAATGCCCAAGATAATCAATTATAAAGAAAAAAGGCTTATTGGGGTTGACACTTTTGGAGGTTCCAGTTAGTGATCAATTAGCCCTGCTGCTTTGTTCCTGTGGTGAAAAAGACACATCAGCCCATGAGAGTATTCAGCAGCAAACTGTATTAGGCAATAATACAGGAATCAAAAGGAAAATAAGGTCGCCGGGCGGTGGTGGCACACACCTTTAATCCCAGCACTCGGGAGGCAGAGGCAGGCAGATCTCTGTGAGTTCGAGGCCAGGCTAGACCGAAAGCCTGCAAAACAATACAGAGAAACCCTGTCTCATAAAAAACAAAAAAACAAAAAAAACAAAAAAAAAAAGGAAAATAAGGTCAAAGGATCCACATAGCTCTTAGGGAGTAGAGTCTTGACCTCAGGGACCAGAGAAACTCACATTAGTCTCAATTTCTCATCTTTAACTAATTCCATGCAGGGATCATAACATTAGCCCAGAGGATCTGGGGAAATGTCCAACACCCAAACTCCAGTAGTACCCATCCATTGCTATGGTGGGAGCATTTCTCTGAGTTTGCTGGTTACTTGACTATTAGTGCCTGTGAAATGCCCTTCTAAGTCATCCACTGGTTTTGTTTTCACATAAACATTTGGAATTGTTTAGAACACAAATGTAAGCTCTTGACTAATTATATTTTTGACACCCCAATAGAAATTTGTTGACTTGAAGCCTAGAGAAAGGGATCAGTCATCAAGAGAGAGCTGTTCTTACAAAGGATCCAAGAGTAGTTTCCAGAATCCAAGTTTATGGCTCACGACCACCTATAACTCTTGGGCCTCCAAGAACATACATGCACACACATAAACGATAAAAAGTAAAATAAGAATTTTTAAAGTTATTTTATAAAATCCAATTTTGAATATTTTCATTTAAATTATTAAATCTTTAGCTTTTTCTATCACAAGTCATGGGTATATTTTTTACCTACTTAGGAATTTTAGATTTTTTTTCACATTTATACCTACTCTTCCCTCCAGGGACTGATTTATGCATGTGCTATGAGGTTCAAACCACAACATTTCTTATATGTTCCCTTATTGTACAAACACATTTTATTTTAAAAGGCCTGCTCTGTTCCCAGTGCTCTGAACTATAAACTTCTTGCAAAACAATCTTTGTCTTATGCTTCAGGCTCTTCCCAAATTTCCATTCTCTTCCACAGAACCAGTGGTCTATTCTTATAGACAGCTGCCCTTGCTTAATTACTGTAGACCAAAAGCAATTTCTGGTTTATGCTGAAGCAAGTCTCTATTTGTTCTTCATCTGTTGTGTCTTAACTAGTTTGGGCTTTTTCCCATTTTCATAAAAATTTTCAATTTGACACGTCATGTTGCATGCAAACACAATATTTTTATAACTACTCTGTTGTTTGACAGCAGTTTCATTGAAACTGTCAATCAATTTAGAGAGCATTGACAGGCTGACAGTATTGCATCTTCTGTCTAGTGCATGAACATTGTTCATTATTTCATTTTCTTATGGTTTTAAAAAGATTCAGGGGCTAAGAAGATAGCTCAGTCAGTAGAATGGTTGCCTTGCATCCACGAGGACCTGAATTCAATCCTTAGCATCCATGTAAAATGAATGGCTGGCTCTTCTTGCTATTAAAATCACAAGGAAGACAACAAAGTAGATCCACAGGATTCTGCCAGCCAGCATAGCACACTTGATGATTCCCAGGCTACTGAGAGATCCTGTCCCCAAAAACAAATGCATCCAACCCTTGAGAAACAACATCCAAAGGAGACTGTTTTCTTCATTAATGAACACAAACACGTACACACACATGCAAAAAAGAGTCACTGTCAATATTATTTTATGTTTGCTTGATAAAGGTCCAATATAGTTGTTTTACTTATTCTTTAAGACTTGGGTTTCTCCATTCTTCTGTAGGTGATAATTTTTAAATTATCTGTTATTACTAACATAGAGAAATGCATTTTGACATCTACATATTGATCTCCTTGGTATAATTTTCATTATACCTGACTTTTATCTTTACCTTCTATGAGTCTTAAAAATCCAATCTTTATACCCTGTTGCCAATATGGAAATGCTTTTCCTTAAGAAACTAAAGATTTGAAGGAAAGGGTAAGGAGTAATGAAAGTCCTTTCCTTTTCTAGAAAACTAAGATTGAATGGAATGGTACAAATCCCTATATAGGTATGCCTAAACATAACAAATTTAAAAATGTTCTCCCTATTATTTTTCCTTTACGCTTTGAGATCTGGCCTTGAAATCCCTATGTAAGTTGAGATGACTTTAAATTTCTGTTCCTCCTGCCTCTGTCTCCTTTGTGATGACACTAATAGGCATGTACTGCTATGCCGCATTTGTGACATGCTGGAGAATAAATCCTGGACCTTGCACTTGCTAGACAAGTACTTTTTAAACTGAGCCATGGTCCAGCTTATTTTTTCCTACTTTTATTAAAATGATCAATTTAACTTTCTTATCTGTCATAAATTATCATTACTCCCAAAGCTTAATCTTATCTTCTATAATTGACCCAACTTGGTTATCATGCAGTAAACCACTGTGATATTATTGGAATAGTCTATAAATACTTCATTTACTATCTTTATATCTACACTGGGCAGAAATGGTCTATAATTTTTTTCATTTCAATCAACAGTTTAGGCAATCTAGTTGTTGCTTCTTGACTGTCTTTTTATTACTGTAGATGTGTTTGCTATGTCTTGATATTCCTTCCATTTCGAGTTACTTTTTCAGTTTGTTGAAAAGGTTTGATGTGATATTGTCAAAACTGTGATTCATAAAACTTCTTGAATCTGTCAGATATATTCAGTTATTTCTTAAAATACTATTTCTACCTCATTCCAATTTTCTTGTGTTCTGGGATTCCATTTTATATATGGAAACAGTCTTACTGTATCATCTATTATTCCTACATCTATACTGAAATTTTCCATCATTTCACCTCTCTGTCCTTATAATTATACATTTTTTTCTGGTCTCTGTTCCCCTTCACTAACTTCTCATTAGCTGTATACCCTCTGCTCTTAAACCATACATGGAATTTATGACATTTTCAATTACCTGATTAATCTTTATATTTTTCATAATTTAAAATCTTATCATTGAATATATATTTCATCTGATAATTCCAATATATGAAGCCCCCTTTTCTTTTGTCTTTTATTTTCATTTTAGCTCTTCTTTGTTCATACCATACTCATTTACTTTTATCTTGTGCTGAATACTTTATTATAACTCTTATTGCAAATTGACAAAAAAGGAAAAATAAACCAAAACGATATTATCTTCACCAAGAAGATTGAGTTTTGCTTTTGTCAAGTACTTGAGGTCATGAGATGCCCCCTTATGTCAGTTGTAGGGATTCCAATAACATCTGCAAAACTCCTTTCAATATCAACTTCCACATGGACCTGAAGCCAGCAACTCATTTCAGAATCTTAGATCCAAATTCATGGTACTCAGCAAGGGAAGGGTACACAAAGTACTTCCAGCATTTAACCTTTCTTATACTCACTCAACAATCAACAAGCCCTCTCAACCACAAAGGGCAAATGGTTTTGAATCATGGGCTAAACATCGGCCCATCTTCTCCATCCTGCCTGGCATGATGATTCTTTTCAGTGGTATGAGAACATAATTGTGCTAGACAGACCTCTGGTGTAAATTGCTTCATTTGCAATAATGGAAAGTGAAATTTGTTCCCTGTGTTTTTGTTGTTGAAAATAATCAGGGAGTTCTCTGTAGAAAAAGCTCCTGTAACTTCATTATACTCCACTTTCTAATGTCTCCAATTCCAGGTCAAGGCTCATGGAAGAGTTTTATTTGAATGTAAAAGTTTAAAAATAACAAGATACATGTACTTATAGTCAGAAGAAAAAGCATGCATATTACAGTAGAAATGCACATACACACAAATATAAATACATGCACACGCATATAAGCCAGCTACAAAAGGAGCAAGAGCCTAGGCTACACTGCTTACACATAGGAGTAAAGAGCATGAAAGTGTCCATTATAACTGTTGAAAAATGAGACAAACACTTGAACACAGCACCCAGAGTAAACAGCCCACCTTGTCTGCGCCATTCAGAATTACGTGAAGAGTCTCTTGCCTCCTAATTCACTCCAGTGTCTCCTGAGGATCCATGCAATTTGCAACACAAAAGTATGTTTTATTTCCAACAAAATGTAAAGTTATAGTCAGTTTTGCTCTCCAACTGTTCCAATTTCCTCTCCATTCTGAAATAAACACTTGTGGAACTTCAGAAAAACAATAAAATTTCAACTAGGAAATCCCCAAGACTCTGGCCTTATTTTCAGTTTTCCAGCAAACCCAAGTCTCAAAAAAACAGTAAATTAAATGATAACCCTCAAAGCTCAGTTGTTTTTTCACATGTACAATAAGAGCTACTCAAACCTGCTCTGGAGGTTTGAAGAGAGGATTGAGTGTAGTAATTCATTAAAGTACTGCCCATGATTCCTGTGGCTTTGGTTCCAAAGAGAAGTGAGTCTACTGTTGTGATTAAAACTGTGAATTACAATGCACAGCTTCGTAAGCATGTATTAACATAGGAATTTTTCAATTAATGACCTCCCTTGTGCTTTACAGGGCTCTAACTTATA